TAGGAACCAAAACTTCCAGAACACGGCCACACAGCCCGGAAGACCCACATCAGCCATAATATGGATATTGCTTGCCACTGCCTTCTTCTGGGGTTTGGTAAACAAATGACTCCCAGGCAGCCTATAGGTGCAGAAATTCTGGATGGTCTCTCACCCAAGAGATACTAGGGCCAGCCCATCAGACAAGATTGGCTGACTCTACTTTCTGTCTATTATCTCTCTCTCTCTCTCTCTCTCTCTCTCTTATCTATCTATCTATCTATCTATCTATCTATCTATCTATCTATCTATCTATCTATCATCTCTATCTCTCTATCATCATCTGTATCATCTACCTATAACATCTACCTATCTACTTATTTACCTATCTACCTATCTACCTTCATACACATACAGCTGGTAGCATGTGCATAAATGAGCTAATGCACGTGTACAATTGCCTAGTGCAACCATTCTGGCACTCAACTAGAGAATGGCTGAGTGTCATAGAGAAGTTGCCGTGTCTAAAGTCATGACCTAAATTCTCGTCACCCTCAGCCCTTTCCCTCTCCTTGATATAATCCTCCTTTCCTCCTGTCCAAGGGCAACTTTGACTGATGTACCTCTGTAGATGAACATGCACGATGCAGCACATCAAGTCTGGTGCTCCTATGAATGCCACGGCCACGCTTCATGATGCCTTTACCCTCCTGGGCATCCCAGGGCTCGAATCCCTGCACACCTGGCTTTCCATCCCCTTCTGCTCCATGTATGTGGTGGCCCTGCTGGGGAACGTTGGCCTTCTTCTCACAATCAAGATGGAGCCCAGTCTGCATGAGCCCATGTACCTCTTCCTATGCATGCTTTCCCTCACAGACCTGGTGCTCTCCTCCTCCACCCTGCCCAAGCTACTAGCCATCCTCTGGTTTGGGAGGAAGGACATCAGCTTCAATGCCTGCCTGGCCCAGATGTTCTTCATCCACTCCTTCACTGCCATGGAGTCTGGCTTCTTTCTGGCCATGGCGTACGACCGCTATATGGCCATTTGTAACCCTCTGCACCACGCGACTGTCCTCACCAATGCCCTTCTAGCCAAGGTGGGGCTGGCTGTGGTGGCTCGGGGCCTAGTGCTGTTCCTCCCACACCCACTCCTGGTGCGCCGGCTGCCCTTCTGCAAGTCCAGGGTCATCGTCCACAGCTACTGCGAGTTCATGGCTCTGCTGAAACTCGCTTGTGCAGATGCGGCAGCCAGCGGAGGCTATAGCCTCACCCTGGCTTTCCTCATCGGAGGCTTCGATGTCTGCTTCATCAGTCTCTCCTATGGCCTGATCCTGCGCACGGTCTGCCACTTGCCTTCCAAAGAAGCCAGCCTCAAGGCCCTGGGCACCTGCGGCTCACACATCTGTGTCATCCTCATCTTTTACACAACAGCCTTCTTCTCCTTCCTCACCCACCGCTTTGGCCACAATGTCCCCCATTCTGTCCACATCCTCATTGCTAATATGTACCTTGTAGTTCCACCTACGCTGAACCCCATCATCTATGGCATACGGACTAAGAAGATCCGGGACAGGGTGCTGCGACTCTTTTCTTCAGGGGGCACTGATGCCTTTTGACCTTGCCAAGCACTGTTGCAACTGTTGGCTGAAGGGTCACCTCCCCAAGAAGATCTGTCACCCAACAGAGTTTTGGAGGTTGTCACCTTGAAGTCCACCAGAGATCCTAAGCAACCAGTTAGGCCACAATTAACAAGCTCTTTAAGCACTGCCAGATCAGCACTAGCTTCAACAACCCCACCGCCACTTTTTCCAGCACCAAGATTTGGTCCTGGATGGAGAAATGCTTCAGGAAGAGAAATGTCCACTGCTGATCCTCCCTGAGCCAGAACTGAACCCAAAGCCAACATCTCTCACTGACAGCTCTTGCCTTGCAACTCATCTCTAAACAAATGTCCTGAAGCTTTGGGGTCCTGTTTTCCCTAGCCCCTGCACCTCACCTGGCCAGCCTTATAGCAGAGCAAGTGAGTATGAGAGAGAGAGGAAGAAGCTTAAGCAACTGTAATTAATAAAGCTTTATAAGTTATCATAGAGTCTCTTTGTGCTGCGTGTTTCCTTGAGAGTTTCATCACTGCATGAGATCCTGAACCCCTCTCTCTCTGTTGAAAATGTGAGCGAACCCTCTGAGAATTTGCCCCCCCCAAAGAGACGCACCCTCTCAAGTCCCCCTGCCCAGCAGACCTCCATACGACCTAGGCCTTCATGTCAGCCGCTCCCATGAAGCCCCCTTGCCATTTGGGCTCGGGAACTGAGGAGGCGCCCCTACGTTCTCGTGCTTGGTTCAGCCTTCCCACCACTATGCCCGGGCGACCTGCGGAGGAATGTGGAGGTCGGCCTGAAGGGAATCTGTGGCAGCCATTACAAAAACTTCCACGGAGCTCAGGAAGGCAGGAAGGGTTGAGGAAGGAACTCAAGACCGCCCTGCCTTGGCTCTCGAGGGAGGGAATGAGAAATGCGGCCAGGCCTTCTCTTATTTCAGCCTTTCTCAGTGAAGCAGAGTTCCAGCATTTCTTCTGGAGTCTGGTCCACCTCAAAGGGCTTACACTACCCATGGGTTGAGGAGGGCTCCAGAAAGCCAGAGGAGGGAGGGGCAAGAGTGGATGGGCGGGGCATGAAGGCGCACTGAGTGCCAAGGGGACTGATCGGCACTAAAGAAGTCCATTGAGGAGGTTGGGCCATAGAGAGAGAACAGGAATGAGGACTGAAGCCGCAGTTGCGAAACAGTAATTGGCTGATTAGCAAGAACAAACCAGCCAACAAGCCCAGTTTCACCTCTGAATTGGGCACAGTTACTGGGAATCCCAAAAGACAGCTCCCTGCATCTTATGGGTGATCCTCCTGATCAGATCCTGTTTAGGCACCTGGTCTGCTTCCACAATGGCTCTAAGCAAGCTCCTCTGGAAGGTCCCTTCTTGGCTTCCAGCATGTTCCCTGGGTGATTTGGGGGTCCCATGTTGTCTTTCACCTCTCCAGCTTTCTCCTACTCCTTTGCCCGCTCAGCCGCAGCCCCCTTTCCTCCGTGGGAAGGGCATGGGGACCGATCCTCTCTCTCCCAGCTCTGGGTCGCTCTCGGATAAAAAGAGCGACGCCTCTGGCTGAGCGTGTGTGTGCCAGGAGGGCGTTGAGAGCCATGGGCAGCTGCAGGCTTGGCAGGCGGGAGGGGGAAAGTACAACTCTCCTTCTCTGCTGGCTAGGCTGGGGTGGCAGCCACCTTGGCAGAAAGGAGGGGAAAGAGAAAGAGAAAAGCAGGGAGAAATGCTCGGCTGAGCAGCAAGGTGGAGGTCTTTCCTGGATGACAGGAGCCCGTCTCTGCTTCCAGCACTAGAGAGGTGTCCAATCCCTTCATGGGGCATGCAGAAGTGAAACCAAGTTCTCACTCAAGATGGCTTATCTGGATTTGGGAATTCATCATCAAGGTGTCAGAAAGAAGAAGTCCATGCAATAAGGATGTGAGATGTAGCTGGGAAGGGCTGGAAGCATGTCAGACCTGGTTCAGGTGGAGCAATTCCTGACATAGCCTCCAGATGCCATCTATCAATATGGCTTCAACCAAGCCCCCAGGACAGCCACTGAAGCTGGAGAGTTGGGGGAAACATTGATCTAAGGGTTCTAGTAATCACCTTGTTCCTTTCTAAGTGCTTGCAAAGCCATTGTTTGGTTATCTTTTCTAGGGTTTCCCAGGTATCGATGTCAAGCTGATGGGTCTATAGTTTCCGAGGCCCACTTTTCCCCTTCCTAAAACATTGGAGCAGCATTGGCCCTTCTCC